CCTAGCATGCAGTGGACCTCAGTAGGGGAAAGCTGCCCTGCTTTATTACTCCAAGGCCCTAGAAGAGCCATACTACCATTAGAATAAGCTACTTGGGGTGCCATTACAACTATGCCACACACTGACCCTGTGCCTTTGTTCCTTCTCAAATTATAGGTCACCAAAAACAATGGCATCATCCCTGGGCCAGATTCCAGTGCAAAGGCAACCCATTCAGAAAGATTCAGCCACCTTGGAAGACTAGAGATGTTTCTACCCAGCACCCCATGTTGAACCAGCCATGAACCAGCTTCCTGTGACTGGTCAGCCCTTGGCTCCCTCTTCCTCCTTTCTTATACCAGGAGAATACATAGGCCTGAGGCAGGATTGGGCTACAGACAGCCTCTGATTGGTCCAGGCTAATTTACTTCTGCTCCTCCCCTTTGGTATGGGCCCTGTAGGTCATGACAGGGAAGGTAGGGTTCTTGAGAGAACTTGGGGTCTCACGGGGTGGTAGTTTGGAGGATGGCTTTCCCCTTTCCCCAGCCCCTCTGGGCGGTATGTGGTGAGATCCTAGCACTTGTCTTTCCTCAGAAAGTCAATTTTGGGCCAGTTCCTGCAGCTAAAGAACAGAGCTCTCCCTGGGCTCTAGGCATCTCTAGTGAAACCCAGAGCTTTCATGCCAGACTTGGGCCAGGGTGGGAAATAGTAGATGGAAGTGGCTGCCACATGGGAGTTTGGAGCTGATGTGACACTACCCCTCCCCCAAAAAAGTACAGGCTTTCCTGAGCCTTGGACCAGATACTGGCCAGTTGGCAGGTTTCTGCCAACTGTGAAGTTACCTTCTGGAGCAATGACACAGTCCTGGCCAAGCATTCCTATCCCTCTGCCCCTTCTCCATAGTTCCTGAATGGTGCTAAGGATCTGCAGCAGCTGGGGACAAGCTGGAACTGGAGCTGGCCTCAGTGCCCAGCAGGATCATAGGAAGCTCCAGTGGGAATGGTCCCTTTCGCCTTCTCCACCAGGGGTGCTCTGACCCAAGGTCATGTGGGAAGGTCCCCCACGTGCAAGTTTCCTTGAGGCTTCTGTGCACCTAAAGGCAAACTGCCTCATGCCAGCCAGCTGCAAGGTTCATTGCTGCCCCTCAGCCCTACTAGCCCTCTCCTCCTTGTGCAGTAGAGCACCCTGCCCAGGTTGCTATGGTGCTAGCTTCCCCCATCATCCAACAGATGATTTCTAGGTACCAGGGAGTTAGATGGTATCCAAGGGAAAGAAATGGAGAGCTGACACAGGTTTCTACATTGAGAAAACAGATGTTCCCCAGGCCCCAAAACCAAATTTCTCTAACTCAGCTATGTTTTACAGCCTGGGACTTCACTGGGAGTGGATTTTTCCTTGTAGCTTTCAAGCAAGAACTCCAGGGAGTGTCACCATCAGATGCTCTTCTTCATTGGGTCAAAGAAGCCCCTAGCTGCTCTCGTGGCCTCCTCCCCCCACTCCCTATCCCCTCGCCTCGAAATGCCTTTGCGTATTGTGTGTGTGCGCGCGCGTGTGTGTGTGTGTGTGTGTGCTTATGCTCTGTTTTGTGGTCACTGAAGCATACAAATAAAGAATTTCTCCCGTGAGCCAGTCTGCAACTTAACGGACCTGGGCACTGGGGCCATGTTGCCATTGGATCTAGTATGTCTGTCTTAATTGCTCAGCCCCACCCCGCTCAGACCCCTGGGTCCCCAGTACTGATCGTAGGAGCTGGGACAGGGTCAGACATCCAGATTGCTAGGCAACCCTGTGAAACTCTCCCAAGTACCCTAAACTCAGCACAGCCTCATCACCTCATCTGCCTCCCCCCATCACACAGGGCCTCATGGAAGTCTGGAAGGTTTAAGCTGGGGACCTGCTTTATGTTTGAGAGACTCATTCTGGCTGCCTTGTGAAGGAATGCAGGCAGGGGAGCAGAGAATGAGACAGGGAGGTCCATGTGGAGGCTGCATCCATTATGGCTCTCTCCAGGTTAATCCCTTCAGGGCAGAGCCCCAGCCTTACTCATCTCCACTTCTCTAATGTCCAGAGTGATATGTCATAAAGTGTTTGTTGAGTGAATGTATAAGGGAATGAATGTGTAAAGAGAGATGGCCTTTTCTTCCTGAGCTCTAACACAGCAGTGGGTTTGTTTCATGGGACTTATCATAGGCCTGGTGCTTCTTGGGAGAGCCTTCTCCATGACGCAGAAATGAGCTAAGAAAGGAGTTTGTTATGGCCAGTCAGGGTACTGCATACCTGTAGTCCCAGCTACTCAGGAGACTGAGGTGGAAGGATCGTTTGAGCCCAGGAGTTCAGGGTTGCAAGTGAGCGCCACGGCACTCTAGCCCGGGAGACACAGTGAGACTCTGTCTCAAAAAACAAAAAAAAAAAAAAAGCCTTTCCCTCACAGCAGACCCTGCCAGATAAGCCGTTGCCACCCCCAGCCAGAACCTATCATGGGCAGTCACTAGTGTCACATATAATAGAAGAAACACTCTCCTTGCTGCCATCCATTCCCCCACCTAACAACCTCACCTGCTCTGCCTTGTGCCAAGCCCACATTACAGAGACAGGGCAGACACGTCCCTAGCCTGGTACTGCCAAGCTCACTGTCCATATATGCTGCTTCACCTGTCTAGGAACTTCAAAATGCAGAAGAAACCTTAAGGTTCTGTAAATGGGTCAACCCTGCCACGCAATGACCCCAGTGGCCACTAGGTGGAGAATGTTCCTTTTTGCTGGGCATGGTAGACCAGCCCCGGGACCTTACTGTTTGACTTAATGCCAAAGAAAATAAGGTGACTTTTCATGAGCTCCTGTACTTAATATTTCACTTAACTCTGAGGCTTTAACTGAGAGGCTTTTACCAGAGAGAGAAAGGGTTTAGATGTCCAGTGTGGGGTGGCCAGGAAGGGTCTTCAAGAAGAGGGATGCTTGGGAGGAGGGCAGAAAGCTGAATGGCAGGCATCTGGTGGGATAGCTGGGGTGGGGTGGGGGTGCACAGGACAGAGCGAGGACATGTGACAACAAGAGCAGCACGTGCAAAGGCACATTCCAGGGGACCTCCCTGGAGCTCAGTGCAGCTGGAAAACAGCAGGTGTCTCTGGGGAGAGTGGAGATGGGATGGGAGACAGCAGCAGAGGCCAGTCCCGAAAGCCCCTGAATGTCAGACCGAGCAGCTGGGGGCGCCAGTGGTTGGTGGGGAAAGAATAGTTGAAGCTGAGGAGTGACTTGCTTAGATCTGTATTTTAAATAAGTCACTGGAGGGCTGATGAGGAAATTCGTGATGTGGAGACTGTTAGGTGCTTCTCCAATACTCAGTCACCCTTCTTTTTGACAGACCCTGGTTTTGTTAGGGAGGCAATGTGTCCAGCAGAATGACCACTATACTTCCCAGCCTGCTTTGCAACTAGGGGAAGCCGTGTGTCATAGTCTGGCCAAGGAGACAAAATCAGAAGTTGCTGGGTGCAAACTCAACTCTGTAACTTCTTTCTTCTGCCTGAGCACAAATGTGATGGCAGGAGCTGAAGCCACCATCTTGCAACCATGAGAGAAAAGTCTAGAGAGTGAAGAGTCCTCAACCCTGACTTGAGAACCCACCTCCAGGCTTGGGGCTAAGTGAGAGATGAATAAACTCCTGTTTTGTTTTGTGTTAAGCCTTTGTCATTTAGGTTTTCTATTATTCACTCTCAAACATGCTTAATGGTCCAGATGGGCACCAGGCAAAGTACAGCAGGGTTCAAGCCCCTCTAGGTTTGTTTCCTGCTTCCCTTTAGACCATCAACCCTCTAACCCTTTCTGCCCAGCCTTGCCACTTTGCAGCTGTCTTGCCCTCCTCCAAACAAACGTACATGCCAACACCCAGTGGGTGTGAGGTTTATAGGCCCAAGGCTAGAGAGAGCAGAGTCTGGCAAGCTCCCAGATGTCTCCTGTCCTAGCTAGCCAGGACACATCTGTAGTATCTGGGACCAGTGGATGAGGGGACGGGGTGCTGTCGACACTCTGAGAAGCCCCAGGACTAGTCCAGATAATGCCTCCAACCCCTCCTAGCCCATTCTCTTCTATCCATCTTGGTGTGAGGAGCCTCTGCAGAGCCCTCCCAGGCCCTCAACACCAGCCCCAGGCTCCCTGCCTCCACAAAAAGGCCCTAGGCAGCCTGCAACTCACGGCTTTCTTGTCTCCAGAGTATAAATTAGACATAAATGTGCCCAGAACCAAAGATGCGTGGGAAATGAGATAAGAGGGCTGAAGGGGGGGTAACCCCACAGTCCTTCCCTCGGTCAAGGAGCGTGTTGCCTGTGCTTTTGGGTGGGTCCTAGGCCCATAGGTGCTGACATTCATGTTGGCTGCTTTTCACTGAGCATGGGCTGTGCACCAGGCATTGGCATGGTGCTTCGTGAATATCCTCACACTGAGTCTTCACAGAAGCATTATTCCCATTTCACAGAAAATGAAACTGAGGGCCGGACGCGGTGGCTCATGTCTGTAATCCTAGCACTCTGGGAGGCCGA